ACCTTACAATCGGGAGCTGGCTGTGCGACGTCATGCACGCCAAGTGTATTAGTGTTGCAGCTCGGACGGTGGATAATGTACAAAAAAACATAGGCCTGCATTACTCCTGTGAGGCCTGTCGCGATGTAGAATGGAAAAAGATGTCTTTCATGCGGCAAACCAAAAGCGGTTTTAAGGGCATTTTAACGAGTTTTCGTAAAACTCTTGAAATTTTCTTGGCGCTGGACACCCAATTTAATAGCCTTACGCTATTAAATGAATCTCCTAGGCACAAAAAACTGCTATTGCATTAATTCCAAGAGATGATATTGAGAGAGAGCGCTAGAAAAGATTCGGTACCCGAATGTGCAGCGGGAGTGCCCGTACCGCCGATGATTTCTGTTTTGTCCCCTGGGGGTCGCAAATATTGACCCCTTAAAGTCCCGTGTATAATGACATATCTGCCCAGGGTGTTAGGCCCGGAATACCGGCCGACAATGGCACGGCAGATAACCAATCTGCCTTGCCAAAAGCCCTTATAGCGGTTCCACTGACGAGACATATTTTTGTTTCGCGGCTCTCCCCTGATCAAACATCGGAAGATGTTCTCGTCTTTATACAAGGCAACACCAGAGCCGATAAAATTAAGATTAAGGTGGAATATTTCATCTTTTAAAATATATGTCCCTAGCGAACTCTTTAACATTATTTGCTCTACCAACTCCGGCCAGAGAACGTTGTTGTTAAGGAGTTCGAAGCGAAGAAAAAAAAAAGCGGCCTGTACGAGTAACTCTTCCCAGGCCTGATCATACCACTGCGCCTTCTTCGTCTTCCACTCCCGACCCAAAAAACTAACCTACTTCCTAGCTATTTCCTTTCAGAATGCAAGAAGCATACGTATTAAGCTTCCTAACTTGTATTCTGATAGCCTTTCGTTTGCTTCTCAGGTTATTGTGCTCCCAGAAACCTGGTTAATGCGGAAGATTCTGAGCCGAAAATGTTAAGGTGGAAAAATTTTAATTTTCGTAAGCCTGATTATTAAACATAAGTATCTTCTTCAAACTTGTTGTTGACACATTTTTTTTTCACGTAGAGAGCCCCCTAGTTGCTTGGTCATCTCAATTTCCATGTTCCCTGACTAAAATTAAGAACGTATATTCGCGTAGTAGTATTCTGATAGCCTTTCGTTTGCTTCTCAGGTTATTGTGCTCCAAGAAACCTGGTTAATGCGGAAGATTCTGAGCTCCGAAGTTTTTCCAGCTGTGTTCACAGTATATCGGCTATATCACCCTATCAGACGCGGGGGTGGAGTTCTTATAGCGGTGGACTCCTCACTCACATCAGAATTATTAACCTTCGAGGAATAGAACGATGTTAAATTCCTCTGTGTGAAGCTATCTATCAAAGCTAGCTCCATTTTTATTACCTGTTCTTACATACCTCCATTATCGGAACTTCCTATTTATTGGAATCTCCTTTCCGCAATTCAGATGGTTTCCAGTAGACTTATGGATAGAGACCAGTTGATAGTCCTAGGAGATTTTAATATCCGTGGTGCTATTCGGTGCTTAAATAATTCCACCAATACTCTCCCAACTTCTACACAACATGACTTGACTTTTCGCTGGCTTGTTCTCAAGTCAACTATGTGCCAAATTCCTTACAGCACTTGGTCGATCTTTGCTTTGTCTCTGATCCTGCGAGAGTGAGTTTAGCCAGGATGGCGCCTCTGACGCAGCCCGAAGATCCGTATCATCCAACTTTCAATGTGACTCTTGATTTTGGGTCTGACGTATAGAATATTTCTGACCGTCCAGCCAAAAAAGTCCTATGTTTGCGCAAGACGGACTTTGAACGACTGAATAATTTTATAAACAAGTTAAATTGGTCCGATCTATACATGTGCACTGCCGTGGATATGTTTTACAATGCCATGAATTCATTATTTACTGAATGAGTTTCGTTATACTATCCGTCAATTTCGAATAAACCTCCGTGGTTTACTAACCGACTTACCGACTTAAAATTGAGAAATCTAGGCTGTATGTCACATTTAAATTCACCGGTTCTCAAGCTGTCCTTTCCCCTTATTTATCAAGTCCTTCAAACTTTACCGTGCAGAACGCGCAGTCTTATAAAAACTATTTAAATCATTGTAGGGCCAAGTTCTGACAGGACCCGAAACAGTTTTATAATTTTGTTAACGCTAAACGTAAGACTAAATTATATATAATTATTTTATTTGTCCCGCAAGGAAGCCAGTTGAGATCCTTATTGTTCACATTATTTATAAATGACCTGCCCAAAGTCATGACCAACTCCAGAGTGCTTATGTACGCGGATGACGTCAAGCTTTTCGTGTAATACAATGACGTCGCCTGTCAGTCGGATTTACAAACAGATCTTAATAATTTTCAAACTTGGTGCCGTGTAAATTGTAAATGTATAAACTGAATGGCTGGAAATGTACGCTAATGACATTTTCTTGTGTTGTTGTTAAGCTTGCTATTTACACGGTGAACTTCTGCTCTTTGGAAAGAATTAATTTAGTTGATGATTTGGGAGTCCGCTTGGACCCAAAACTTGACTTTATTGATCAAATTTTGTCTAAGGTGAATAGAGTCAGGGGTGTGCTTGGATTTATTAAACGGTGGTCGAAGGAATTTAATAACCCCTACGTCACTAAACTCTTCTAAACCTCTTTGGTTCGTCCTTTCTTAGAAAACGGATGCTGCGTTTGGAGCCCTCTGTACGGCGTCTATAGTAAACGCATCGAGTCGGTTCAAAAAAACTTTTTACTTTTCGCTCAACGCGGTTTAAAATGGGATGCAAACCAAAGATTACCTTCCTATTCTAATAGACTTCTTTTATTAAACTTACCGTCCTTAGCCAATCGTAGAACGAATAACCTTTATTTATAACCTTATCCATGGTGATGTGGAATGTGCTGACTTGTTGAGTCTGCTCAATTTCCAATTATCAAGTAGAAGTACTAAATCTTATATATACTATTGTTGCGCGACTATAGACCTTCATAGAACTGCTTGAACGTTTTAGAGTCTTATGTGCAAATTATAATGATTCTTAGACACTAATCTCCAACGTAGATAGCCTTCCTAAATTAAAATCTTTAGTAAACATGCAAGCAACAACCTGGCAGAACGCCGGTAGTCAATTTCCTTGTATTCTGTCCTATATTTTCAATTGCGCCTACTTCCACCTATCCCAAACAGGCACGTGCCTGCCCTGCAGTACCTGTCATCAGTAATTCATCAACGTTTCATCAGCATTCAAGGGGGTGTTGTTGATTTTTCACCGATGACAGGCCATACAAACTGTTGATTTATTTAACATGGGCATGTCCTAGGCTGTCATCAATAAAAATTCATCAACAATTAATCGAGGATTCATCAACAATTCATCAACAAATTCACCAACAGTTCATAATAAATTCATCGATGAGTCATCAACAATTCATCGATGTTTCATCAACAAATTTCTCAACGGCCGGGCCATGGTACTGCCGACAAATGCCGTCTAGACTACCGCCGTAACTGTATCGTGGACAGAAGTAGTAGTAGTAGTCGCAGTCGGCAGAGGGTCGACTCGGTAGAAGTCGCAGTCGGCGCGTTGATGACATGTTGATGACAGTGACCTATTGATAACACGCAGTACTGCAGGTGTACTGACCGTAGTGCATCAACTTCCATTAAATAGCTCTAAAACTAAGACACTAGTTTCCGTAAAAACGGAAAGGTGGGTGGACTGGCGGATCGACTCTGCTTTTGATACTGATTAAAAATATATATACGTTATAGGGACGAAGTTGAGCATTCACTGCATCGCAAACTTCTTACTAAAATTACAATACCCTCCAAGGGTATTATGAATTTGACCACTATGTGTACAAGTAAATCAATTCACACTAGGCATTACACTGATTTTCAGTATGAAGAAAATTAATGAGAATAAAAGAACATACATTAAATCGGATTAGATTTAACACAATACCTATAACGAGAAGCGTTAACAAGGTTGGGCGGATAATAAAGGACACTAACAACCAGTCTTTAAGAAAGAAACAATACGTAAACATTTAACAACACATTAGCACATTTTCTCTTGTATGTTCTGCTAACTAGACTTGATAAAAGACTCCCTCCAATCCGACGAAATCCTAACGGAGACTTTCTCGGTGCCGTAACATAATCAAATGTTAGTTAAAGGACAGCTCCTGTTTACCAAAGATTAATAAAAAGAATATTTTGCATAATAACGGACGGACAAGCACATGGTGTGGGGTGGGTCAAATAATTGGTAATAGAGCACTAATTTATACATTCTTACATCTTGATTTCTTAAATTTTTATAACATTTATGGCTTAAAGTACATTTATTATCCTAGTCTTGGTCCATCCGTTATGGGGGACTGTATGTACATATATCAGAAGAAGAAAAAAGGCCCATTTCCGACCAATTTTTTATGGTTAAGTTAGTGCAGCATAAGGCTAACGCAACAACCAAAATAATTTCGGTCGTATTATATCGGTCAGTAAAAGACCGTCTCGTGTTTTCGTTCAATGAGAAACCGAGACCTAAGGGCTCGAACAATGAGAAATATTTAATTGTTTAGAGCTAGAGCGAACCGTCTCATTTTATTTGATATTTCAGCGAACAAGAGAAACGCAGAGAAACTTTGTTAAACAAATAAACAAATAAACAAATACTACAGACCACGCATTTCTTATTATTTACTGGATATATTTCCACATTTTTGCTCTGTGTCTGTCTTTTCACAATACTTAACTAAATTCGAATAAGTAATCTGTTAAATGTGACATTCTTCGAAACTAATAAAAACTACATGTTGCAGAACGATAATAGGGATACAACTGTTTATACTAAATACCAGAGGTTCACTAACATATACATATGCTTATAATATAATAAAACATAGCTGTCATACGAGCGGAACAAACAAACATATTATATTAATATATGCGTTTTGATCTTAATTTCAGATACTGGATTTTTCGATCTTGGGGTCGAATTGGTACCACTATTGGAAATTCAAAAATTGAGGTGTTTGATACAATTATCCCCGCCATCAAAGTCTTTCAAAAAGTTTATTTTGATAAAACTGGAAATGATTTCGAAAAGAGAGACAACTTTGTTAAAATTACTGGACATATGTACCCAATAGAAATTCAGTATGATGACAAACCGAATATTTGTTTACATGAAACACAAACATCTGTTAATTCGAGTCTTGATGCCTCCGTACAAAATTTAATACGGCTTATGTTCGATGTTGATTTTATGAAAAGGACATTGATGGAGTTTCATATTGATATGGAAAAAATGCCATTGGGAAAACTCAGCGTAATTCAAGTACAATCTGCTTATAAAGTGTTAAGCGAAATATTTGAATTAATCAAATCTGGATCCAGTAATGTAAAACTTATTGATGCGACAAATCGATTTTATACCTTGATTCCTCATAGTTTTGGAATACAGTCTCCAGACTTAATTAAAACTTATAAACAAATCGAAGATTTACGAGAAGTATTAGATTCGCTAGCTGAAATCGAGGTTGCCTATAACTTGATAAAAAGCGAAAATTCTAATGAAAGCATGAATCATTTGGACAAACAGTATGCGCAATTAAATGCTAAATTAGATCCATTAGATAAAAGTACTGAAGAGTTTTCCATTCTTAAAAATTATGTTAAGAATACTCATGCTTCAACCCATAGCGCATACGAACTGGAAATAGTGGATGTGTTCAAAGTACAGCGTCAAGGGGAATCAAGGCGTTATAAACCATTCAAGAAGTTACATAATAGAAAACTATTATGGCACGGCTCCCGTATAACAAATTTTGCCGGCATATTATCACATGGTTTGAAAATCGCACCTCCAGAAGCTCCACCAACTGGTTATATGTTTGGCAAAGGAATTTATTTTGCAGATATGGTGTCAAAATCAGCCAATTATTGTTGCACAACCCAGCAAAACTCAACTGGATTAATGCTTCTTTCTGAAGTTGCCTTGGGAGATATGATGGAATGCACTGGAGCTAAATATGTTACAAAACTCCCGAAGGATAAACACAGTTGCTTCGGTCGAGGTGTTACAATGCCTAATCCAAAGGAAAGTTATTTTCGAAGTGATGGAGTTGAAATACCTTTGGGGCAAGCAGTCACCAATTCAAGTATAAAATCGTCATTAATTTACAATGAATATATTGTGTATGATGTTGCCCAGGTGAATGTGCAGTATCTGTTTCGGATGGAATTTAAATACAAATATTAGCTTGAACATATGAACATATAAAATTTTACGGAATAGTAATTTTTTAAGGGTATTAATCAATTAAAAAGAACACAGTAAAACTAAAAGTTAACTACTACTATCGCAAAAAGCATTTTGTTTGCGTAAGAAACTATGGGATTTGGAAGGATTGATTCTTTTAAAAAATTGATTTGCAACGTATGAGCAAGGGCGCGCACCACTTTTTAAATTTTGGAAAAGCTCGGCAAATACCTTACGAAAATACATACTTTCGAAAGTTAGCACCCAGCTAAAATTAAAAATAAATAAATATTTTCTTTAATATAATAAAAATCATTTCCAAGATGCTCCCGTTACACAGACAGATTTAAGAAAAAACGGGCTATGTGACTAACCGGAAATATAAGTAAAAGGATTTGTGTCCAAAATGATTGTATTATGAAGATACTGGCGTAAGGCTTAATAGAAAATTATAATCTGATCCCGTGGAAAAAAATAAATAATTCCGTTTCTCTTTTACTTTAAGCTGCCACCATTTCTTCGAAATATCTAAAGAAAATTAAAAGTAATTTTTTCTAAAAATAGGAGCTACGGCAGAATCTGTAGGGCAAATAGAAAACATAATCACTAAAATTGGGACCAGTGTCATACCTCCTGAAAGGGCTCTCTCTTTTTTTTATTGAAAATTGAACAGCAATACCTAAATATAAAACAACTCAATAAACAACGTGGGTGCGATATCTACTCCGGATATTTGAAAATATTTGAAGAGAAATTAAAATGTAGGCCTGATGAATAGCTTGCACCGAAAATGAAGTTTCGTTACAAAACATATTGAACCGTTTCCAGAATATTATTGATGCAAGAGGAGGACAGGGAAACACTTTCGGATGTAACACAGTGTTTACTAATTTATAACCATGGTTTAATGGTTCAACAGGTCATGGCTTACATAAACATAAATTTAAAATTACTGAACTCTCTATTTGTGATTTAAATAATTTGCATTACATGGTAAATCAAAAATCAAGGGTTATTTGGTTGAATAAATCGTTACAATCCACAAAATATTGCCGTCTTTTAAAATTTTTATATATTACGGAAACAGTTCTCTTATTCTAACGAAAAGGAAGTTAGTTTTAACAAGGAAGGGAGGTAACTTCGGCACGCCGAAGTTTATATACCCTTGCAGATAGAACTTCTATGAATAGGAATCAATACAATATAAATTATATATATTTGTGTTAAAAAACAATGTAGTAATACCTGCTGTCATTTTATTCACCTATTTGGATTGGATTTGGATTTTGATTTGGATTTTTCCTGCACATCAAACGATCGTTTGTATGGCACCTATATGATACAGTCGTCCGATTTTCATGAAATTTGACACAAAATTTAAGACTTATATAAAATGGCTATACCTTAAATTTGATGAAAATCAGCTGAAAACTGAAAAAGTTTTTAAGTTTTTTAATTGTATTAATTTCTCGATCGTTCCTACGGGAGCTATATGATATAGTAGTCCGACTTTCATAAAATTTTATACAAAATTGTAGAGTATAGTAAAATGGCTATATCTCAAATTTGAGGCAATTCTATTGAAAACTGAAAAAGTTAAAATTTTTTTGTACAAATTTTCCGATCATTCCTATGGCAGCTGTAGGATATAGTCTTCCAAACCGGCCCGTTCCGACATATATACGAGTGAGAGTATATAGAAGGCTAACTACAAAGTTTCATTCAGATAGCTTTAAAACTGAGAGACTAGTTTGCGTAGAAACGGACAGACGGACAGACGGACATGGCTAGATCGACTCGGCCGTTGATCCTGATCAAGAATATATATACTTTATATAGTCGGAGGTGCCTCCTTCACTGCGTTGCAAACTTCTGACTGAAATTATAATACCCTGCAAGGGTATAAAAATCTGAAAATCTACTATCACTCTTACAAGGATAATGAAATATCTGTGAAATTCGATGGGAACATGTCGCCTGCGTACGTACATACATATGTATAAATAAGACTGTAACACTTTGTTGTTATGCCAACAGAATGCACATACTCAAGTGCAGTCGAAATATGATCCGCACTCGATAAAAGCGACCGCCCAAATTGCTAAGTCAGCGTTCCAACACTTGACCGTCGCAGTGTATACATATGTATGTATGTGCGCGCATGACTCTGTCAGCTAGCCAGCAACGTTTTGGTTGTTGTTCATAATAAGCCTAAACAAAATTTATGTAAAACGGCTGCTCACTGCTTCACCGTGGACAGCACTTAAGCTAAAGATTATTTAATAAAAATCTATCGGAGGAGACTGACATCTTCTCCAAAAAGGAAAACAACCGGATCTACATTTTAGAATTGGATAATTATATACCTACATTGGGAACTGGATCTAAATCTATATTTTGGATTGTTATTATATTAAAGATCTGTAATTCTGATCGTCTAATCCAAAGAGTTGTCTACGTTATTAGAAATAAACCACAATTTCATGCATTGCCTTGACATAATTTGATTGCCATAAATTGTAAAAATCCTATAAATGAAGAAAAATTCAAATTATTTAGTTTTTAACGTTCACCACGTATTGGGAGAGCTTTTCATGGCACTCTATGCCCCAACAGTACACAAAATTTTAGTACATGGATATAAAATCATAAACAAATCAATTGTTCCAGTTGTTTTTTTAAAAGACGGTGCTTTGAAAGAAATGCACAAAGTGTTTAAAGCTGACTGAAAGCATCACCCCTAGAAATGTAGCAGTATTGACACAGAGCTATTGATACGTCTGATCCTCTACTTTCTATTTTCTGTGTCTCAAAGGTGTAAAATAAAAAAAAAAAGTAGTTTTCTATCCAAGGCTATAGAACATTTGATAAGATGATGAATCTTGAGTGGAGGAGATACAGATTAAAGATAAAACAAATGAAGCTGATGAATGACACTATTTTGACGTTTTAACACGTTTCGAAGAAGAATAATATGACAACATTTTTCTCTATTTATAGTTAAGAAATTACCAACTGTTCTCGAGATAAAAATTTTTAATTTATATATTTAAAAATTTATTTTTTTGTCAACTGTGCGAGCAGGCATGGTCAAATTCCAAAAGTAACAAAAACCAAAATTTTACCTCATATATAAAATACATTCAAAATTTAAAACAATGTCTAAAATTTTAATTTATCCAAAAAAAGTGTATGTTTTAGCCATAGTTATATGGTTAAATCTACCACATTTAACGTGCATATTTACATATAAGTGGAAAATACTTAGTCAAAGAGTGTTTCACCTCTGTAGTTTACATCGGTGCTTGCGTCCTTATCCTCAAGATGGCGCATTTTGAGGCTCAGGCTCCCGTATGTAAGATAAAGCGGTAGCAGGCTGTCAAGATGCCGTACAGTCTAATATGCGGTTGGGATTCTGACTCTGCAGCTGTTTCAGCGCCAATTCCCCTTGGATAGCGATGCGAAGAGTGCCGTTGCCTTTGTTCCCATCGATAGCCTGGCCCCCTCCCACAGCGCTTCTTGCGGAAGGACCGTTTGCGTCAGCCACTTTCTCGTCAGGCAATCCGAGTATTATATTTACGAAGCTGCTTTCCGTTCCCACGTTTGGTTGAAAATAAAAAGTCTTAAAAGTGACGCATTGTCGTCTGCACCCACAATAAAATGCTGGTCCTTTGGGCTGGCTTCTTTTAGGGCTCCTGAGTTCTTTTAGTGGAGCTAGCCTGTCGGGTGCTATGTAGCAGGAAGCTTCCAGGTGGCGCTTCTTCTAGCTTTTTAGCATCACCACAGTCAGCTCATCAGACCTGTAAGGTTAGCTTGAAGACCGTTCCGTACGAGTATGGCAGTTATGTTCCTGCTGGCCCATGGTGGGTAGTATACGATTTATCTTGAGGACTTTAGTCCGGCAACGGCATTGCCATGGCTCTTGGACTTAAGCTTCATCCGCGGACCCTTGCTCCATGGCAATGAGGATCATGCTTTAATGGAGATTGAGCATTAGCACCCTAAGGAACATGGGAACCGCGCTCAACTTCACTCGGTTGGCTACTAACGTCAGATCAACGTACTCCTCCTCCACAGACTCGTCTAGCGTTAGTTTCTTGGCGACGTCAACGATGGTTTCCAGATCTAGGTCTTTCCCCACCTCTCTTGCTTTGAGGATATGCGCATCCTTATCACCGGGGTGGCGTTTTTTGAGACGCAGGTGTACGCTGGGGTAGTGTAATATATGAAACGATTGATAATTCGTTTTAAGCACGTCTGTGCTGCGTCTTTATTTGTGAATAATTCTTAGTTCTTTTAAACTAAGGCTTGCTAGCTATCGGCGCAGCGGCAGAGCAGCCGTTTTATATATTTATATATATGTAAAGTAACAATATGAAAATGTGCAGAGGGAAGGAGTTATGCATGCACATATGCATATAAGCGGTCAGCATTGGACCCATGCTGACTCAGGTCTAAGAGGTGAATGCAATGAGTGCATATCGTATTACATTTGCACTGAAATGTGTTTAGGCACTTTTAGGCACTTGTCACGCTGTTGCTGAGTGACAAGGGTAATGCCCTATGTGTATTATTTGTATAACAACAAGGTGTTGTGACCTCGGCTAACAAATTGTTGCCGCTCAATATTTATATTAAGTAATAGGAACTCATATGGGCATACACTACATCTCCCTCCTTTTGAAAATAACGTAATACAATGGAGTTATTTTTCTTATTTAAATAATTTATTATTTGTATTTATTATTAACTAGCTGTACCCTGCCACGTTTCTCTGTGGTATATTATGGTTAAGAGGGCACTTCTGAATACATCAAGGTTCTGGCAAAATCATCTTCCTGGCATAAGGTGAAGAAGGCAGTCAGAGTTGTCGCTGGCAGATTCAGGACTCTTTCTTGCACATTTCTTTCTGTGAAATAGACACGTTGACCATTCTCCAAATGGACTGCCAAGTGAACTAAATCTGGATAGCGTTCATGAATGGGGAACAAAAAATTCTCCATGCAGCCTCGTTGCTGCTTATGTATC